ACCTACCTACCTACCTACCTACCTACCTACCTACCTACCTACTTACTTACCTTGCAGTATTGCAGGCTAACTCTACCTACTGCCAATAGTTCAAATCTCACCAGGCTCAAGAGTGACTCAGCCTTCCATCCTTCTGATGTGGGTAAAATGATGACCCAGATTGTTGGGGGCAATAGGCTGACTCTGTAAACCGCTTAGAGAGGGCTGCAAAGCATTATGAAGTGGTATATAGGTCTAAGTGCTATTGCTATAGTCTTTTATCACATGCATTCTTAATTGAAAGGCAAAACCTTCTACAGGTAATCCTTGACTTATGACCAAAATTGAGCCCACCATTTCTGTTACTACGTGAAACGTGTTAAGTGAACTTTGCCTCATTTTACAACCATTCTTGCCACAGTTGTTAAGTGAGTCACTACAGTTGTTAAGTTAGCATGGTTGTTAAGTGAGTCTGGCTTCCTGGTTGACTTCGCTTGAAAGGAGGTTGCAAAAGATGATTGATCACATGACCCCAGGATGATGCAACCACCATAAATATGAATCGGTTGCCAAGCATCTGAATTTTGATCAGGTGACTCTGAGGGATGCTGCAAGGGTAATAAGTTTGAAAAATGGTCATAAGTCACTTTTGTCAGTGCCGTCGTAACTTGGAATGGTCACTGAACAAACTGTTGTAAGTCGAGGACTATCTGTGTTCAATAACGACGGCTTAAACTGAACTGAAGATGGAAACCAAAGATTATTAAAAGAGGAGAGGTTGCTGCCCCTCAAGAATTAAAATTTGAAGTGAGGTGTGCAATAGATTTCAAACTCCTTGAATTTTAAAAATTGCGTTTGAAAGAGGCTGTAGTGAAGAGTTTCAAATCCTAGTTGTAAAGGAGAAAAGGCAGTGCCGAAAAAGGCTGTTTCACATTCGAAATGGTTTCTGGTCGCTATTCGCAGGACTTGAGTTAGAACACTTTGAGGAAGCAATTTTAATTCTGCATGACTCAGAAGCAGATGATTTAGGTATTGGCAGCCATGGATTTCTGTTCACTATTTTGTGCTCCAAAAAACAGCTTGCAGTAGAGTTCTATTTATATTTCGAGAAAGGCCATTTCTGTTGATATCAAGGAGACCTTTTTCCCAAGGAGATGAGGAACAGATTAGGGCCCCAATCATCTTTTTAGCAAAGGTGCTGCTGTAGGATTGACTTTAATGGTTGAGCCTCACAGCCTCCCTCCCATCAAATTGGCTGATTTAATAGTGTGTTGCCTCTGATTATCAGATGTATTATTTACAGTTTGAAGGAAGGCAGTGTCAATTCTTTTTCTGTATTGTTGTCAATAACATTACACATCCATATAGTCAGTTGAGTGCTTCCCGAGGGCATTTTTGCTGCTTTTAATGTATTATTTATAAGCTGAGGGAATTCACGTCTCTTATTTTCACAGGCAACAGCAATGTCCGTAGACTGTCTTGGGCAGCATGCGGTGCTTTCTGGGTGAGTGCTAAAACCTTCAGGGTGGAATGGCAGCCACTGTTGGCAACACCTGGGCTGGTACCTGCTGAGAGGTACAGAGGGAAGAAGAAAGTCTCGTCCAGGGTGGCTCTTCACATTTCCCGGAACTTGGCCTTCTCAGTGAAGTAGATGAAAAAGAGATTGAAGCATCAGCAGAATTTGATTACGAGTGATCCAAAATCAGACTCCATCACCCTAATACAGGGGTCTCCAGGCCACGGCCCACTTCCAGGCTTGGAGCCATTTGGAACTGGGCCACGGAAGTGGCAGGCAAGCGTGTGCACCTGCACGTCCACACTTGTGCGAGCAGCGGGCAAGGACATTGTTCTGACCCAGCTCCCCAAGCACGGTAAACCCTCTGTAATTAAATCAATGATTCCTTTATTAGGAGTGCTAGCAGCCCCGGTAAAAAGTCTCTCAACACAGGCTAATAAGAGATGAATGGTTCTCTGCCACATCTATTCATCTCTTCTGTTTTATCCCCAGAGCTAGGGTGGGGCTTCGCTAGCAACGGTGGCTTTTCTGTCCCAAGGACCGTCCCACAGATTTCCACTGCTCTCCTCTCCTCTGACTTCTGCACATCTGCGCATCAGGCACTGGACCCAGCTGTTCCTCCTCTTCCTCCTCAGCCACCTCCAGACCCGGGGGCTGTTGACTCTCCATCTGAGGGCTGATGGCTCTGCCTCTGCCTCTCTCTCTCTCTGCCAGCTCCACTCCCTCTTCCCCCTCAGAGCTCTTAGGTTATCTTTATGCTGATCTTGACTCCCATGCCTCCTCCTCCTCCTCCTCCTCTGATTCGGCTGCTGGAGGGCTGGTTAGCCAACAGGCCACAACATGCGCTCCATTTGCATGAGCAGCAGCTGTACGTGCCTGCTGCTTGTGCAAATGGAGCCTGCATCCACGTTCTTGCCTGCCACTTGCACCGAATCGCCCCCCCCCCCCAGTCCAGTCCACAAAGGGAATTCTGGGGAACTCTGCCCCAATAGATCCATCCGTGATCTCTTTGCAGGACAAATCAGAAGGAATCTGGTAGCAGCTTTTCAGACTGACTCATTTAATAAAATAGCTCAGGAAGGTTTATGCCTTTTAATAAAATGTGTTAATTTAAGTTTGGTATGAGACTCGGGAGCTGCTATCGGGCTCCTAATTCCTGACAGACACAGACTAACTGGGCTGTCTTCCTTCGATTTCTAGCAGGAAGCCATAGCACTAAACATTCTTCATTGTCTGTCATGCTCTGCCTCTGAAGATTTAGCCTTTATGCCAAGTAGGATAAATCTTCCTTGAATCTATGTGACATCTTGTCTACAAATCTTCTGAAGCCAGTCTCCATCATTTCTTTATGGGACTTTTGGTTTGCTTTGGGAGAACAAATACCTGCCTTTCTTTGCACGAAACCTGTGCCATCTTCCCGTTAGAGATCTCTCAGTGCCTCTCCTTTGGAGCAAGAGTGTGAGTTGCCAATAAACCACAGGCAACCCCTCTTTTTTGTACCCCACAAACTTTACCACTGACATTTTCCAGCAAATCCACCTTTTAACTGCCTCCATAGAAACTTAAACTTTTTTTTTCAATCAAGACCCCCCTGCCCATAAGATAGATTGAGAATTTTTCATCATACCCTGGTTACATTGGTGCATTTTTAGACACACTCACTACTCTCCTTGATCTCTTGTCAAATTATTATTAAAAGTCAACGTGTGGTTCCCTCCTGGATAAAACTTGCTTCCTCCCCCTCCCCCCAACGCCCAGGCAATTATGGAGCAAAGATAGAATTCAGGCGTACCATTTAGATCCAACATTGAATGGTACTTTGTGAAAGGGATAAGATGTATGGCCTACGTGTCCCTTCTATTTCCCCCCCCCCAACTTCTAGCTGAAACCTCTCCTTTGTGATAAAGGCAGCCTTTGCTCAGCTGCCTCAGTAATTGTCTGCGCTTTGTCCTTTTCATTCTAGGCCTGCTGGCTTTTTAATAGCACTATTAGTGCCCTGTAGGAGATGGCTTGTTATCAGCATGTAAGAGGGAAGTAGGTTATTATCAGCCCACCTAACAGACCTGCTTTAAATTTAGACCCATTGAACTTGGGTCTTCCTTCCAGGGTCCTACCCAGGGGTGAAATCCAGCAGGTTCTGACAGGTTCTGGAGAACCGCTAGCGGAAATTTTGAGTAGTTTGGAGAACTAGCAAATGCCACCTCTGGCTGGCCCCAGAGTGGGGTGGGAATGGAGATTTTGCAGCATCCTTCCCCTGCCACGCCCACCAAACCACACCATGTCTATCAAGCCACACCCCACCCACCAAGCCACGTCCACAGAACCGCTAGTAAAATGTTTTGAATTTAACCACTGGTCCTAACTCCGTGCTGGAGGGCAGCTGTGATTCCACAGATATGCAAAAAAGTTGAAGAATGTAGCCCTGCAGGTAGTTCTCAACTTACCACAGTTCATTTAGTGACATTCAAGGTTACGACGTCACTGAAAAAAGCGATGTATGACCTTTTTTCATACTTACAACCGTTGCCGCATCCCCATGGTCACGTGATCAGAATTTGGTTGCTTGGCAACTGGTTCACATTTGTGACGGTTGCAGAGTCCCGGGGTCACCTGATTCCCTTTTGCGACCTTCTGACAAGCAAAGTCACTGGGGAAGCCAAATTCACTTAACAACTATGTTACTAACTTACCAACTGCACTTAACAACTGTGACAAGAAAAATCGTAAAATGAGGCAAAACTCACTTAACAAATGTTTCACTTAGCAACATAAATTTGGGGTTCAATTGTGGTTGTAAGTTGAGAACTATCTGTATATGCAGATTTTAGTTTTCTTAGGACACTTTTTAAATGAGTAGGTTTCTAGTCCTCATAGCTGTACAGAAATTTGACAGTCCCAACCTAGTGATAACGATGATTGAAATAAAGATCCAAAATTATTTCTTCCAAATATACAGCAAAAGCTACAACAAATCCAAAATTACTTTAATAACATTAGTTTCTAGAATGGATTCTTAGGAGAGAATTCAAATGTACTTCATGCAGGAACATGCCTCAAATTTCCCCATGGCTGACTTTAAACCAGTTCCAGAACATTAATTATTCTTTTGCAGGATATATATGTCTCTGTGTGTGTATTTCTAACACTTTAATCCAATAATCATACTATTTTAAACACTTAATTCAAATACGCCTCTCGTAAATACCCTACGTTAAATTCAAATGAAATAATGATTGAGCAACTTTGTCATGATCAAAAATAGCCTGATAATCTGTCTCAGAAGCTCAAACGCGGAAGCAACTCAATTGTGGCCTAGATTTGCTAAGTGCAGAAGAGGTGGTGAAGCTTTGATCTCTAGTTCTGACTTCATCTGACTGAGTGCTCCTCCCTAAGCACATTCGTTCTCATAGGAGAAGAATGAGCCTTGCAAAAGAAAGATTGGCTGGATATTTTTGCCTCGTCTGCTGGATTTTATGAATGAACTTTTTTTTTTTAATGGAAGGGGACACGCCTGGGAACATTAAAAAGTTATTTCAGATACTTCACATTGTCATCTGCTTTTTGCAGGAGCTACCCAAGAAGTTAGAATCTAGCTAGATAAATCCTGGCTTATAGTTTCCATGCAAGACTTCCTGTAATTATAATCCAACATTTGGTGGTGTTATACAGAAATGTGCAGCTGAGCCCTATGGCAATTTCTTGCTGGAATAATACCTGCAGCTGGACCTAAGTATCCTTACATTTTGGTAGTACAGGTAGTCCTCAACGTACGGCCACAATTAAGCCCAGCATTTCTGTTGTCAAGTGAGACATTTTTAAGTGCGTTTGGGCCCATTTTACAATCTTCCTTGCCACAGTTGTTAAGTGAATCACTGCAATTGATAAGTTAGTAATAGTTGTTAAGTGAATCTGGCTTCCCCATTGGCTTAGCTTGTCAGAAGGTCGAAAGTTGTAACTGAAAAACAGTCATAAGTCCGTTTTTTTCAGTGCCATTGTAAGTTTGAATAGTCACTAAATGAACTGTTGTAAAATGAGGACCAACTGTAATTTGAATTTGGTTCCAGGCATAAGTTGAAGACTACCTCTAGTATATGAACTAAGAGAGGAAAGCTATTTATTATGTGCAATTTTAAATATCCCCAAGTGGCAATGAAGTGAAATAAAATCAAATTTTGCCTTGGCCAAATTCCCCAGTTTGGGCAATGTGGATCTCGGCAGCCTAAGGACAATGTAGCCTTCAGTCTGGTAAGAGGTAAGCTCTGGATCTCTGGATCAGCTGCATCCCTTCTTCTCCATGAAGAGACCAAAGAAAAGCGCAGCATTGCCTGAATCTCAGTATCCCCATTTTCCAAGTTTTAAAGGGTTTGCTTCTAGCCTAATCGGTTTTATTGTTGACACATTTGATGTCAGTTTAGCCAGATAACATTACTTTATGCAGATACTCTGTAGTTAGTTAGTTCCAGGGCTGGCTGCATTTAATGGCCGCATACACGAATCCTTGCTTTAAACTACGGTCTCCAAACTTGGCAGCTTTAAGACTTACATAGTTGCAGAAGTCCACAGGTCTTAAAGTTGCCAAATTTGGAGACCCCTGCTATAAACCATGGGTATCCCAACTTTTTGGCTTGCCCGAACCGCGCTGAGGGAAAAGGAATTTTCTTGGGCCTCATCAATAATATAAAATACAATTAATGTATATAAATCTCATTATAATGTTAAAGGTTTAGAATCTTATGGGGCTCCATTACTGGGTGTCAGGCTCAGAACGGGACAATTCGGGGCAGCCAACTCAACGTGAGACAACTTGCAGCAGGACAGTTCAAGTATTTAAAATAATTAAAAAAGTGATTTTAATTTTTGTCATTCACGTTTCATTTTGTCCCTCCTTTTGCATCCTTTGTTTAATTATTCTGTTCTATCATTTCTTCGAAATCAGTGTAACTCTTGTCCTGCAGCAAGTTGTCCCACGAAGAGTTGGATGCACGCACACACACAGAGCAATATGTCATCACATTTTGGGTGCTTATGAACAACCCTGCATTTATAACTGTTTGTGAAAAAAGGATTTACTTAATGATCACGGTGTTCATTTAAGGTCCACAGTGATTCACTTAGCAACGAGCATAAAAAGGCTGTAAAATCATGATCATGTAGTGACTCGCTTAACAACTGGCATGACTTATGACCATCATTCCAGTCTCAATTACAACATGAGTTGCTCTCATGGTAGTAAATTACTTTGGATCCACTGTAGTAACACTCCTTCCTGTGTTTGTGGGCCTTTTCCCAGGCGCCGCTTCCTCTACATTGTAAACCTGGATGCACCTGCTGATGGCCACCGCAAGATTTCCCGTCAGAGCAAGTGGGACATTGGGGCCGTGCAATGGAATCCCCACGAGAGCCATGCACACTTCTTTGCTGCATCGGTAAGGGGGAGGATGATCAGGTGGATTCCAGCAGCGCAGCTTCTGCACTTAGCGTAGCTACTGGGATGGTGCTCCCAGTTTTGGTCACCACACTGTAAAAAAGAGTCTAGAAAAAGAGCAGAGAAGAACAACCAGGATGATGAGGGGACTGGAGGCTAAAACATAAGATGAATGGTTGCAGGAATTGGGCCTGGCTAGTCTAGGGAAGAGAAGTACCAGGGGAGACAGGAGAGCATCTTCCAATATTTGAGGGGCTGCCACAGAGAGGAGGGGGTCAGTCTATTCTCCAAGGCATCTGAAGGCCAGACAAGGAATAATGGATGGAAACTGACCAAGGAGAGATTCAACCTGGAAATAGGAGGAATTTTCTGACAGTGAGAACAATCAACCAATGGAACAGAAGTTGCCTTCAGAGGTTGTGGGAGTTTCATCCCTGGAAGCTTTCAAGAATGGTGCAGGGTCTCCTGCTTGGGTGAGGGGTTGGACTAGATGACCTACAAGGTCCCTTCCAACTCTGTTAATCTGTATCTGTAGGTGCTGCTGCTTCCTTACACATTAGGGCCTAGGGATATGACTAAGAACAGTGTAAAACATCTGAAGTATCCAAAATCACCTTCTCTTGTTCTGCATAGATATCTCATCCCAAATTTGGATGTTTACTTATTTGTATCCCACTGTTACTGTTTTTACAAATAACTCAAGCCAGCAAACATATCCAGCACATTTTCCTCCTCTCATTTCCCCCCCACAATCCTGTGAGATGCGTTGGGCTGAGAGAACAACTGGCTCAAAGTCACCCATCTGGCTTTCATGCCTATGATAGGACTAGAACTCCCATTCTCCCAGTTTCTAGCTTGGTGTCTTAACCACTAGACAAAACTGGCTGATATAATCAGAAGGAGCCGGGTAGCATCTATTTTGATCAGTATAATTTATGAAAAAATACAAGCTTTCGTAAGCTCATAAAAGCATCTGCCTCCTAACAAAATTTTTGGTTAGAAAAAGTGTTCCAGACTGATTTTTTTTTAAAAAAATCATAGGTTCACTTGTCCGCTCCTACAATATTTACCCTTCTTGGATATGTGAGATTTAAGATATTTAATCTATAGAAAGGTTCTTTCTTTAATATTATCTTAATAGATACAATGTTTAATTTTATGAATCAAAATTATTAATTTACTAATTGAATTGATTACTATAATTTAATTAAAATAAATTGATCTTAATAGAACCGTTTTGGTGAACTGGTGGAGGAGCTGGGCTAGAAATGAAGGGGCAGTGAATTCTAGATCTTAAGCATGAAAGCCTGCTGGGTGACTCTGGGGCAGTCCTCTCTCTCCGCCTAACCCACCTCACAGGGTGATTGTTGAGAAAATAGGCAGGAGTATTAGTTATATTCACCGGCTTGAGTTATATATAAAAAGATGGGATAAAAATCTAATAATACCAGTTTGTGGACAAGAATTGCTTCTTGCTTTGTTTTTTTCTTATATTTTTATACCTTTTATATGCTTTAATTTGCTCAGGGCAGCTAACATGTTTTAGAATAATTTACGTCCTAAGAAATAAAGCAACAATAATAAACTCTTAAGCCACTGCCAATTTGAAAAAGATTACATGAATTAGAGATCAGCTGTAAAACAATAACATTGTGCTTTGTTTGGTTGTTTCTGACCATTTAATATGGAAGATGGAAAAGTGTCTCTCCTTAAGAGAACTCTTTTGAGACCCTCAGTGAGTGAGTGTGAGGAAATTTTCTAGCCCCAATATTGAGGATCATACTGTATTTCTCTTGGGTTTTTTGAAAAGGATCCTCATTTTAAAAGCTAAAAGACTGCTCCCATTCTCGAACATTGTTTCTCAACCTTAAGAGTTTGCAGGTGTGTGACTTCAACTCCCTGAATTCTCCAATCACCCATGCTGGCTGGGGAATTCTGGGAAATAAAATCCACACATCTTCAAGCTGCCAAACTCCATTTTTGGAAAATGAGTCTGTGGTTTTCTTTGCGGCTCCTGATGTTTTCCGTCTTAATTTCAGAGCAACCAGCGTGTTGATCTGTATAAGTGGAAGGACGGTAATGGGGAAATTGGCACTTCCTTGCAAGGACACACACGTGTTATCAGGTATGGTTGCCCCAGAGACCCCGGTGTCCTTCTACCTTTTGTAAAGTTCACTTTACCTTCTATAAAGTGGCATGCCCCCCCCCCCCATATGACCTGTGGGCTTCAACTCCCAGAATCCCTGTGCCAGCCATGCTCAGGAACTGCCATGGTTGTGCCGGTTCAGGAATTGTGGGAGTGGAAGTCCACAGGTCATAAAGGGGGCCATAGTTGCCCGCCCCTGATCTATTTTCTTCTCTTTTTCTCTCTCTGCCTTTTCTAGTGATTTGGACTGGGCGGTGTTTGAGTCAGATCTACTGGTTACCAGTTCGGTTGACACATACATCTACATCTGGGACATCAAGTAAGAGTTTTGGTGGCCTGTAAGAAGACAGACATGGTCACTAAGTGTTTTTGGGGAGACTGAAAGCTCCTGTAGGGCAGTGCCCCCCCCCCAACCTTTTGGGCACTAGGGACCTTTTCCATGGACCAGAGGGGGCATGGTATCATGTGCTACCTGCATCCCATGGATGGGGCTTTGCTTGCTTGTGTGGATCAGTTTCTGGCATGCCATGGACCTGTGTCGGTCCGTGGATAGGATTGGGGACCCCTGCTGTAGGGCACCTGTGGCAGCAGCTGCTGTTTTTAAGTGGGGTGCTTCCTAATACCTTGGGCAGGGGGGTCAAACTCAAGGCCTGGAGGCTGGATCTGGCCCACGGGGTCACCCTGAAACCAGAGACCAGTTGTAGGGTGGGAGACCAACCTGTGGTGTCTCTGCCAGGAAAAACAGGCCCCTGAGCTCCGTTTCCGGCTGCAACAGCCTCCTGGAACCCTCTGCCAGTGAAAACGGAGCTCCGTTTTTGCTGGCAGAGGGTTGCAGGAGGCCGTCGCAGCTGGAAACAGAGTTCAGAAGTATGTTTTTGCTGGCAGAGGACTCGGGCTGCCACAGGTGCCCCAAACATGAATGACATCAAGCAGGCCATGCCCTCTACACACCCCAGCCCCCCCCCCCCAGGTCAAACACATTCCTGATGCAGCCCTCAATTAAATCAAGTTTGACACCCCTGACCTGGGGTATCATTAATGTTGTCTTCTATTATAGCTTAGCGAGTGAGGTTTGCATTTGCTATGGTGCAAAGAGAAGTTACATATCCACCCGTGTGTGTGTATGTGTGTGTGTGGTAATAATGATAAGCTTTATTGATTAGCCTATAGGCCATATCAAAGCACAAGGGTCAGACACGTATTACCAATAAAATTCTGTACGGATAATTTTAAATAAGAGTAGGATAAAATACAATAGTTATAGCATAAGATACAATGGAATTTAATACATAAATATGCAAAATAGGATAACATGACATAAAATTATATTTCGGGGTCACCCTTACAATCTACCCTCATCAGTCCCACGTATGCAGATCTCAGCCGATCCATTTTGCTTCAGTCCTGTGCTGTGTTCAATGTTATTTTCAGGTTCTGGCCTCAGATAAAAGTAAGTTATGTAGGTGAGGTGGGGGAGAATTCTGTGAAATTGAATTACAGGTTGTCCTCAACCTGTTACCACAATTGGGACCAAAATTTCCATTTTTAAGCAAGACAGTTAAGTGAGCCGCACACCGATTCTGCTACCTTTTTGCCAACGTTAAGTCAGTCACTGCAGTTGTTAAGGGAATCACAGTCATTAAGCAAATCTGGCTTCCTCCATTCACTTTTGCTGGTTAGCAAAGTTGCCGATGGCGATCACGTGACCCCCAAGATGCTGCAACCTCTTAAGTCTCCTTACCAAGCGCCTGAACCGTGATCACGTGTCTTGGGGGGGGGGGCGTGTGCAGCAACAGTTGTTAGTGTGAGTGTCAGTTGTGAGTCACATTCCAATAAGTGCCAGAACCCTCCCTTCAGCTTCAAAGGTCCTCATGATGCGCCTGGGCTTACAGACCGTTCTTTGTTACACAGCCATTCAAATTTACACTGAAAGGCCCACCTGTGCCTTGCTGGCATGAAGGCAGATTTCTGGCAGGTTTTGGAATAAAGGGGACCAGTTGTTTCCAAGCAGTTTGCCACAAAGTTTGTCCCTGTCCTGCAGGCCAACCAAAAACACCAAGTTGCCTGCTGAATCAGGGCAGGATATACCAGAGATTTTCATTTTCCGCAAGGCAGATGGTTTTTGCTCTCGCTCTGGTGCAGATCGACAAGGAAGACAAAGAAAGAAGAACCCGAGAAAAGTAATTTGTATTATAGATGCAGTAGAAAAGACAAAAGTCTTAAGGAAGATAGAATTCACAAACCTAGGAAAAATTGTATACTAGTAGAAAAACAACAAAGACTGCCTGATGTAAATAGCCAAACATAGATTGATAAGGAAAAGAGAATGAAATAAGGGGGTTAAAAGTGTAAAATTGGATAGAAATGTATTGAGAGGGAAATTGAGAGGTACATTGGAAACGATGTACCGATTGATATCTGCTATAGCAAGGGTGTCCAAACTTGGGAACTTTAAGACTCGTGGACTTCAACTCCCAGAATTCCCCAGCCAGCATGCCTGGTTGGGGAATCCTGGATGTTAAAGTCCATGAGTCTTAAAGTTCCCAAGTTTGGACAGCCCTGTGCTATGCAAAGGAACGTGAAGTTCCGAAGTGATATATAAATGTTGTGTATGTCTTTGTTAATGTGTTTACATGTTCAAAATTAAAAAAAACAAAAAAAAAAACCAAGGAAGATGGATGGCCCCCCCAGGAGTGACTCCTGCAGCTGCATTTGTGTGTGATTCACAGCTTCAGGCCTGCCTCTTTCCAAGCAGGATCTGCCTTGATCAGTGACTCATACAGAAACAGCAAGGGGGATCTCTGGAGGTGGATTTATTTTAATCCAGTGCATATGCTGTGAAAATAACTCCCCCTCCCTCCTTGGGTTTCAGAGCAACAAATGCATAAAATTCTAATTAAAGTGGTGTGGTGGCCTAGAGGCGGCGCTATCGCCTCACAATTGGGAGGCTGTGAGTTTGATCCTAGGTAGAGGCAGATATTTCTCCGGAGTACAATGAGAATATATCTGCTGAACAAAACTGCATTGGCAACAGGAAGGGTATCCGGCCATTAAAACACTCTGCTAGCTCCATTCAGTTGCCCGAATTCTACTCCACAAGGGATTATGGGGTTGTTAAATGATGATATATGCATAGAATTCTAATTATCATATTTTTCAGAGTATGACGCACCAAAATTTTGAAGAGGCAATTTTTAAAAAAAAAGTTTGTGCACTCTGCAGACCTCTCAAAACCAGCCCGTTTTTTGTGAAAACGGGCCCATTTTTAGTTGAAAAAAGGACATGCATAGCCTTTAGGAGGCTTATAGAGTGCTCCTGGAGGCTGGGGAGGGAGGAAATGAGCCCAAAAAATGGCCTGTTTTTTCGTGAAAACTGGCCCATTTTTTATCAAAAAAAGAGCATGCGTAGCCTTTAGGAGGCTTCCAGAGTGCTCCTTGGGGGGAGGGCAAAAGCAAGCAAAAAATGGCCCATTTTTTGCTCATTTCTTCTCTCCCCAGCCCCTAGGAGCACTCTGGAAGCTTCCTAAAGGCTATGCATGGCCGTTTTGGTGAAGGGGTGGAGTTTCAGGAAGCCAGAAATGCTGTATTCAGTGTATAAGACACACCCAGATTTTCACCCTCTTTTTTGAGGGGAAAAAGGTCCATCTTATACTCCGAAAAATACGTTATTTGGCAGTAGGAGTTTAGGAGAGTGTCGTTAAGCCTTATGATCTTATGGCAGCATTGTTGTTTTTCAGAGACACCCGGAAGCCCACTGTCTCCCTCTCCGCTGTTGGTAAGCACTGGTGGGTGACTAGCCTGGTTGGAAATCTTCACAGCTTGCCTTTCATGGGGCTTCTTCACCGATAATGGACATGACTCCCATAGATCGTCGTTTAGGATCCCCCTCCCACCCCCAGGCACCGTGAAACCCCTGTCAGAGCTTTTGTTCTGAAGTATTTCCATTGCTACTCTTTCCTTCACCCAAGCTGTGATTGCTTCATCTACTACTGTAGTATCGTAATAACAGGACACAGTAGTACTGGGAACCGGACAGGTGGTGTTTAAACACCATTAGGGTGATGGTCATGAGTGGATACGTAGAATTACAGATCCTCAGAGTTGGAAGGGACCATGTAGATCATCTAGTCCAACCCTCACCCAAGTAGGGGACCCTACACCATTTCTGACAGAAGGCAGTCCAGCCTCTTCTTGAAAGCCTCCAATGATGAAGCTCCCACAACTTCTGAAGGCAACTTCTGTTCCATGGGTTGATGGTTCTCCCTGTCATTGTATCATAGGCTCACTGAATTTTAGGGCTGGAAGGGAACTCGGAGGTCTTCTAGTCCAGCCCCCTGGGCAAGGCAGGAGACCTTATACCATCCTGCTCAAGTGGTTGTCCAGTCTATTTGCAAGAACCTCCAGTGATGGAGCACTCACAAATCCGGGCGGCAAGCTATTCCATTAAGTGTTCTCACTGTCTGGAAAGTTCTCCTGATTTCTATGTTGGATCTCCCTTTAGCAAGCTTCCACTTACTACTTCCACCTGTGTGTCCTGCCCTCTGGTGCTTTGGAGAAGTACTTCGAAGTTTCTTGTGTAAGTTAGCTAATAGCCCCTGACGGCACCTGGAATGTGGTAGACAGACAAGTAGTTATGGCTAGAGCATAAAGTCCAGTCCATACTCCTATTTCCTTCATGGTACAGAGGAGGGCAGGACAGTATGAAGTATTGAGGAACAAGCACTGGAATGGCACCATTCTGTGATAGCTTGGAGCAGCCACATGAGTTGATTCCCCTGCAGTGCTCCATGTTATAACTCTGGGCTCTATTCCTCTCTTGGAAACTTCTTAAGTCTTGTGCTAGAGCAGCTGGACGGAGCCCAATACTCCCCTGTGGTTTGAATGTGCTGGAGAGGTTGGCTCTATCGTAGTGACCTTGTTTCTTTCTGGAAGGCGTTTGTTGACTCCTAGTCCTCTGCTCCTTCTGCAGCTGGAGCCTCTCAGGTCAAGTGGAATAAGAAGAATGCCAACTGCTTGGCCACCAGCCATGATGGGAATGTGCGCATCTGGGACAAAAGAGTGAGTCCTTGTTCCTTTCCCTGCTTTTGTCTAAGTGTGTGTGTGTAAAAGAGAGACGGACGGACAGACAGACATGGAGGAGGGCAGTGGACATTGCAAGCTGGTTAAACCCTTTTGCTCTCTGAAGCCTCCTTCACAAACAATATGTTACATCCATGGTTGGTCAGTTCCATGCTGATTCTCCACCCTCCAGGTCCTGGTTGTTCCAAAGGTGCTTTTTCAAGAGGCAACTGGATGTTTCACTTCTTGTCCAAGAAGCTTCTTCAGCTCCCCCCCCCAATCCAAACAGCACTTCAGGCATTCTTCAATACTCTTTCTGGCCGTTGTGTTTCAACATCAGGACAAACTCTGCCATAGAACCAGAGCCCTTTCGAGCACTGACTTTTGGAGAGTTCCAGTCATTGGAAGCTACCTCCAAACAGACTGTTTCAACCCTGAAAGAGAATCTCTACAACATTAGAAAGAGTTTTGTTTGAGTTTTGGGAGAGAATCCTCAATATGTTTTGAATTGTGTTCCAAGAGTTGGGAAAGTTGCAAGGGAACATTTCAGTTTTGCTCCCAGCTCATATTTCGTTTCCCCCTGAAGATTCCTACTTCTAGTTCCTGCAGAAACATCCCTGCCTCCAGTGTTCCTTTTCTTCTTCAATTGCTGGATTCCAGACAATGTTATCTGTGTAGGCTTCCCAACTTGAATCCATTGGGGTCATTTCCCAACTGGGCTCTGAGGAAGACCAGTAATAGATGCCTGTAGGTTTCTTGGAAAGATTCTTGACTTATTTTCTATCACCATTCCTATCCATGACTGAAATCCTCTCTCAAAGGGCCCATCAGCCCTGAAGCCATTTTGGGAGCATCTTAGGGGCTGCCACAGTAAGGCCAGTTGGAGCTGTGGGAACGTGAGTGGGGAGGTAGAGATAGCTGGAGGGGTGTGTGTGTGTTATAATATTCTTTCCTTTTCTTTTTAAGTTCTTTTGAATTTTTTTATTGTTTTAGTTAAACAAAAACACACAAAAAAAGAATCATCTTTCGTTACATCTTATAGAAAGCGTATCGATTGGTTACAAATATATTCCGTGCGTTTCTTCCACAATCCTTACATATGCTTCATTCAAATCGAGTTGTACATTTTAAGTCAAGAAAGAAAAATTGTGTATTTTACTATCCCTGTACCACAATTCTCATTTGGTTACCATTATTTAAACATGTTTTTATCTAGAATCATTTATATTTAAAGACACAACCACCTACTGGCATTCATTTGCAGTTCCAATAAATCTCCAATAACATTACACCTTTATGATATATTCTAAAGCAAATTCAGTTAAGTAAGATATCTAAGCATTCCACACACACCCCATAACACACCTCTATGTATCATTAGATATTATCCATTAACATTTCTTTGTTATTATTGTAGTTGACTAAAAGTTATTTACTGTTTATTTCACCTCTCCTCTCCACAGGCCCACACAATATTATACCTTTATAGCCATCTTTAAACAATGATTTATTAATAAGATTTATAGGTCTTTTCCCTCAATCCCAATTTTTAAGTTTTTTTTTATTTTTTGTTCTCTATATTCAATTATAGGTATCCATTCACATAGTTATTATTCTTTTTTGCATTTGTCATTTGTATACATTTGTCACTCCATTTACATGGTTATAACATACCATTTGGGTTGCTTTGTTTACCATCCCTCGCCTGTTTTGATACCACCTTTTTTTCCCTTTCTTTTCTCCCTCCCTTTTCTACTTCCTTCCTTCCTCTCTCCTTTTCCTTCCTTCTTCTCTTACCTCTCCCCTACTCCTCTCTTCCTCTTCCCCTTCCTACCCTCTCTCTTTCTCTCCTTTTCCCTTTCCATCTTCCTCTCCTCACCTCTATCTTACTTCCATCCTCTTCCTCTCATCTCTCCTCCTTTTTCTATTGTGGTAGGTTTCTCTTCCATCTTTTAATTTTTATTTCCTTGGGGTGGTATTTCCACAGACCCAAAAATAGTTAAATATCATTCCTTGTTCCCTTTCCTTCTCAAATCTATCCTAATTATGTTTCAAAATAACATTCTTTCCTGTGGGGGGCAAGGATGTTCTACCATGTTTTGGAAAGGCGTGGACCGAAACAAACCAGGATTGGGGCTGCGACCTGATTGAAGGGACATGTGACCTGTGGGAAAGAACTTGGAGTTTTTGATTTGGGTGGGGAAAACCTTGAATCCTTCAGAGTCGGGTTTTCCCGAGATGTGCCAGTATGACATGCCAAATATATCTATACTTTGAGGAATATGCCTGCATTGGAGTTTTGATTCTGTTGTGTGTGCTAACTGGATCCCTGACAAGGCCTTTATATGCTTTGTAAGTCTTGCTTTCCGTTAACGCACGACAAAGAACGAAACAGTGTCCAGTGACTGTGCCCCCGAATTAGCTGCCAAAGAGAAGCCAAGATGTTTCTCCTGAAGGCAGTCTTGTGACATCCCAGTGGGATTGCTGTGGCCTCTTCTGGAAACTTTCCAACCCGAGCATTTTCTCTGCTTTCAGAAACCAAGCACTGCTATGGAGTACCTGGCCGCGCACCTCTCTAAAATCCACGGCCTGGATTGGCACCCAGACAACGAAAACATTTTGGCCACCTCCAGTCAGGACAACTCCGTCAGGGTAGGTTAGGGGACTGGGTTGGCTGGGCTGGCACCTGGTGTTTGCAGGGATATCCTGGCAGAGTGGAAGCCAGGGGTGAAATCCAGCAGGTTCTGGGGAACCGGTAGCGGAAATTTTGAGTAGTTTGGAGAACCGGCAAATGATACCTCTGGCTGGCCCCAGAGTGGAGTGGGAATAGAGATTTTGCAGTGTTCTTCCCCTGCCACGCCCACCAAGCCACACCCACCAAGCCACGCCCACAGAACTGGTAATAAAAAAAATTGACTTTCAGCACTGGTGGAAGCCATTGGGTGGTTTGGATGCTTGTTTAGGCTGGGCAGAAAATGCATGGGACCCCAGCAGTGTCAGTCTCTACTGGCCTTCCCTTGTTCTGAGGACCACCAGAAAATGAATGAAGGGTGCAGTGAGGCTGAATCCCGTTTCTTGTCTTGAACAGTTGGGGGTGGGTGGGTACCCCTGGTGAATGAGGGGCCTGTTTTCTCTGGATCCCTGCCAGAATTCGTTGTTGTGTGCTTCAAGCAACACACTTATGCTGTAGGCATCAGGCTGCTGCAGCCTAGCGATCGTTATATTTGTCTTCTGTATGTGTATTCATTTATCAGCATCAGTTGATTATTTTTGTTCCTCTTGGAAGCTTAGCAAATCCTGGAAAGTCCACTAATCAATTATAATAGTCTTATAAATAAAGACGTCATTGTAATATTGGCTGTCACTGTTAGTACTCGCAAGTACAAAGGGTGCATTTTAAAAACAATATTTTTTTTTGCAAGCTGACATGAATAGTTATCCTGAAAATACTTTCAGATCATCCTCAATTTATGACCATTACATTTAACGATCATTTTTAGCTATGATGGCATTGAAAAAAGCAACATATAGCAAGTCCTCACATTTAGGACTGTAGCAATGTCCCTGTGATGGAAATGTGGCCACCTGGTCATCAGCATATATTTACAATGCTTACAGTATCCAGCAGTCACATGATCACTATTTATGACTTCCAGAGGGCTTGCAAGAAGCAAAGTCCAGGGGGAAAACTGGCTTCACTTAACTGCGTGATCTGCATAATGACCATTGCAAAAAAAAGGTCCCAAAATCAAGTGCTGCTCGCCTAAATAACCACATTGCTTAGCGATAGACATTCCAGTCCCAATTCTCGTCATGTCAAAGGCTACCGGAATTTCTCAGCCACGCTGTCATAGCCCTGAGAGGATAAATCATCTACTCGTTTTAAGAGTGCTGGGGATATGCAGGAAATGATCTCTACAGACAAATATCTGCCAATAGGGGAATAAAATGCTGTTCATTTGGCAGAAAGTCAGTTTTTCATTCCCCTCCTTCCTGTGATCTAAAAGGAGATGGATTGATTGGCATTCCAAGGCCAGGAGTAAGTGAACTGTATCTTCCGATGATTAATGGCAGGTTTTGCTCTGTGGAATCCCTTTGATACCTGATCCCGCAAATGGAAAGCCAAAGATTTTCACGCACCTTCAATCGTTCCCTCCCACCCACAACAGCTGCTGGGATTCTCCATTCAGAAATCTTCTGGGGCTGTTTAATCTGTTTTTAATAGGGTGGTGATTTTCTTATCTTACGCCACTTAAGCATCTTTCACCTGAGTGGCCTTTTCTCTCTTTTGTTGAAGTTTTGGGACTACCGACAACCCCGAAAATACCTCAACATTTTGGCCTGTCAAGTTCCGGTTTGGAAAGCCAGATATACGGTAAGGAGAGTTTCTGTGGAGCCCAGGTGAGCTGAAAGGCTGGCTGTGAATCTCACTGCCTTATGGGACACTGGAGGGACTGATGGCCAGCGGCCAGGACTGAAGAGATCGGTGGCGCAGTATTGCAGGCTACCTCTGCTGCCTGCCGGCTGCCTGCAATTTGACAGTTCGAATTGTACCAGGCTCAAGGTTGACTCATCCTTCCATCCTTCCGAGTTGGGTCAAATGAGGACCCAAATTGTTGGGGGCAAGAGGCTGACTATGTAAATAGCTTAGAGAGGGCTGGAAAGCACTGTGAAATGGTATGTAAGTCTAAGTGCTATTACTACCTTCCTTCCTTTTCCTTCCTTCCTTCCTTCCTTCCTTCCTTCCTTCCTTCCTTCCTTCCTTCCTATTAGAATGCAGTATTGCAGGCTAACTCTGCCCACCGCCATCAGTTCAATTCTCTCTGGCTTAAGGTTGACTCAGCCTTCCATCCTTCCGAGGTGGACCCAAATTTTGGGGGGCAAGAGGCTGACTCTGTCAAGCGCTTAGAGAGGGCTGTAAAGCGTTATACAAGTCTAAGCTCTATGGCTACATGTTTTTTGGCCAGGAGTTACTTTTACTGTGGGAGAAGTGGTGTCAGGCTTGGAAGCCTGTTACATGGTGATCTCACTGGAAGGGTGGGGTGGAGATTTGGGCCACATCTGTTTTACTTTTCAGGTGTTTGATGTGGCATAGCAGAAGGAAAATTTCAAAAAACAAAATGTTTTTTTGAGACTGCTAGCGGCATAGCCCACTTCCTTGTAGACTTTTTATCTTTTTTTTAAAAAAAAATCCAACAAATATTTACAGTTGTTTTTTTGGTGGCTTCCACTAAATGTTGGTAGTGTGGACCTAGGTGGTCCCCATTGCCCACTCTTTGCTTAGGGGAGAGATGGCAGCTCACAGTATGACACAATATTCACACAATACTTCCCTTACCCAACTCTGGAGGTTTCATTCTCCTGGCAAGGTTGGGAAAGAGACAGTTTGGCCCGAAGCCTGTTGTCAGTTTGATGCAACTCCAACTCCTGCGTTTAACTGCAATTCCTATCCTCCTTGGTTGCCCTGGAGAAGAGAGTATCTGGGAGATGCTACGTTGAAGTCTTGCACAGAGGGTCCCAAGCTAGGCAAGGCAAACATTTGATTGGCACGGTGGATGCTTCCACTATTCCTTGACTGGGATAAGCTGGAAATGTTGGGCAGGGGAAGCCTTAAATATAATTGTCTTCTGGATCACATCTCTTCTTTCTCTTCCTATGTGCAAGAAAGGTCTACAAGAGGTACATCATGGTGGTATGAGATGCCCGCTGATGTGGCCTCCAGTGTTGCTTACTATTACAGGGGTCTCCAACCTTGGCCACTTTATTTATGACTTGTGGACTTCAACTCCCAGGATTGGCTGGCCGAGGAATTCTGGGAGTTGAAGTCCACAAGTCGTAAAGTAGCCAAGGTTGGAGACCCCTGTACTCTTATGCTCACCGTTATTCCACACATATTTTTGCCTTAAACTTCATACTCTTCAACCTCTCCCTCCTCACCAAAGGTAGAATTGCAAGCTCATGGGCACAACCAATAGGATGCTTTGAGGAGACTCCCAGCCACAGAGAAGGAGATTAAGGGTGCAAAGGAAAAAAAAAACTGTGGATTCTGCTTTGTGCCGAAATGGATAAATTGACGTGGGGATTGAAGAACAAAGACCCATCAGAATGTTATAAGATATAAGATTTCTTATAAGATTATAAGAAATTCTATCGATGGTTGGAACAAAAAAGGAAATACCCAAAATAAGGAACGATTAAGATTTAGAAGAATGGAGATTAGAATTATGTATGAAATCATAACAGTGAAAATGTAGGGTATAAGACAAGAACAAAGCAATATGGATGATGGAAATACGATATCCTTATATTTGTAAACACTGAATAGACCAATTGTAAATAAGCATGGTGGTTATAATATTTAACTTTATATTCTAGTATATATGGCAAAGACATTGTGAGGATGGTTACACTGTGTCCAATGTTTTAATGTGTGTATAATAAAAAAAACCTTTTTAATAAAAAAAGAAAAAACAGTGGAGGAAACTCATTAAAACCGTGCTTTAATTACTACCCACTTGCTGTGAGGGGTTAGGAAGCTTGTAAACACACACTATCCTGCATGATCCAATCTGGGTTGATCACCGGGACCAGAGGTTTTGTCTTCCGAGTTTCTGGACTCGTGCCGGAGCCCATCCTCAGGGAACTTCTCTGCGTGTTCTGGGCTGTTCTGTGTGTGGTACAGCACAAAACACACACAGAAGTTCTCTAAGGATGGGCTCTAGCACGAGTCCAAAAGCTCAAAAGACAAAACCTCCGATTGGATCCCGCAACATTTTCTTGGGACACGAATATTCGCCTACACACTATTCTGCCCGGCAGTCCTGTACAACTCTAGACCTTGAAAGGTGAAACGGAGATGAGTCACTAACCTCCGTTCTTTCCCCTTTGTAGCCTTTTAGCAATGGGCTGGTGACAGTGATGGTGCCCCAGCTTCGGAGGGAGAACAGTCTCCTCCTTTGGGATATCTGCGATCTCAACACACCAGTTCACACCTTCGTGGGACATGACGATGTTGTGCTAGAATTCCAGTGGAGGAAACAGAAGGAAGGTGTGTGACTGGGGGACGGGGGTGGCCATCCTCTCTCCTTTTTTATTGGAGCAGGGGACTCAGTTGAACAGATTCCCATTTTATGTAGTTATTTTTATTCCACATTATTTTTATTCCATGTCATCCATCCCACCTAAGCTAGTTAGCGAAGAAAGGCTCCTGGCTCATTGTTTTCCATTGTTTTTACTGAAAACAAAAGTGGTTGCAGAAGTAGCAAAGCCGACTCTGCCAGTTTGCTGCGCAAAGGATTCAATTACTTTTCCTTTTCTCCCCTGGCCACCCCCTGTTATCAGTCAATATCTAATTAAAAGTTCTTGTGTTGTTTAGGGAATGGACCCTCAGTTCACGCCTTCTCCATCTTCGCATCCTTTTGTCTGACCTTGTGCTTGATTGGTGTGTTTCACTTTTGAGGCCAGCACAGCTTGGCTCCCAACAATAACCCCAATTGTCCTCCCGCATTCCAATCTCTTCCCTCCCACCATCGCTAATGTCAGGCTGGCAAGATGTGATACGAAGCTTAGCAGAATGGCAGCCGTGACATTAAAATCCAAGGTAGCATACATATACCTGTTCTGAGCCCCCTCCGTCCGGTGATTAATGCCGACACAGGCTTAGTAGTTTGCCACTCTTTATTTATAGCAATTACAATCCCGTTGGCTGAAAGCCCAAACACGACTCACAGGCAAGAAGTTGGCAGCAACCCAGACTCCCACAGACAAGAGATACAATACAAACAAGAGCTTCTCCAGATTGTTACAAAAGGTTGTGTCCTGCAAAAGGACTCCTCCCAAGGTCTCTTCTTATATACTCTCTTGGGAGGGGCCAAGCCACAACCACCTGGGCTTGGTTATCTCTTATGAGTCTGTCTCCGTAACTGCTGCCTCCATTTCTCCGCCCTCTGTTGCCTGGCATCAGGGACAAACTCCCTTTGATCTTTCCCACTGCTCCATGCTTCAGGTGCCTCCTGGTGGCCAACCAGCCTCTCTCGTCCCTGCTCTGAGTCTGAACCCTGCCCAGGGTTCTCCACATCTTCCATAGCAGACTCATAGGGTTCCTCGCTATCGGAGTCCATCGGCAGCTCCAACGGCTCCTGCTGGGCCACAACACATACCTAACAGTCCTTCAGCTATGGCTATTTTAACGTTATTTCTAAGTCTGCGTACTTTTGGTATTGCTGTTGGGCCAATCCTTTTCTCTCAGAGTTTTGTGGCCGATTGAGAGGCCCTTGCTGTCTGCTTTCCTTTGTTTCAAGGCTAAAAGCTGGGATATCTGTGCAACATTACATACACAAATCTCAATACATTGTATTACACATACTTACCGCAGCTAGGATTGCATTCACACAAAACTGGAAACAAACCAATACAGCCGCAGAGGAAACAATAATTAGAAAGGTACTTGAATGTGTAGAGATGGACAAAATGACCATGCAGTTAAAAGAAAGAGAAGAATCGGATTTCTATAAAATATGGAATAGAATTTATAATTGGCTAGAAAACAGAAGCCAAAACAGGGAATAGAAGTCTTTGTTTTTGTTTTTTCTAAACTAGTACTGAATAAAAATTAACCAAAATTACTAATTACTATCAAAGTATTGACCACAATGCAAATACAATGGTGATAGGAACAATTAATATCATTATAATTGTTAGTACAATTGTTAGTACATTATGACAGAGGTTAAAACCGATAGGAAGGCGATGGAGAATGGGGAACTATAAAGGCTAAACATGTATGCCGATAGAGAAGGCTATATAACTATTTTTATATTGTTATGTTTGTCTTGTTTTTTCTTATGTTTTTCTTGCATTTCCCCCCCTGTTTTTAAAGGTAAAAATGTTTCATAAAAACTATTTTTTTTAAAAAGAAATCACACAAATATATTGCCGACTCTTTCCTGGTTCATTTTCTATAGATTCTGGCTTTCTCCTGCCTTTGAATTCAAAAGCAGACCTACCTAGCATATGACAGGTGTTTCCCCTCTTCCTTTAAGGCTCAAAGGACTATCAGCTGGTCACCTGGTCGCGGGATCAGACTCTTCGGATGTGGCGAGTGGATTGTCAGCTGCAGCGGGTGAGTCCTAAGCATTTGGGATTCTTTCCTGGTCCCGGCTTGAAAATGTAACAGTCCCGTCTCTCAGCTGCCTGGGCTCCTCTCTCCCACTGCAAGTCTGGCATATTACTTCCTGGGGTCTCCTACATATTTCCATCGAGGTGTTTTCCCTGCAGTTGATTTATGGCAGATTGCCCCCCCCCCCTTCATTCTCTTACGTAGTGTTGGCTGAGCTTTGGCTTGGCTTTACGCTGTCTTCACTGCCTCTCATTCCAGTTATGCTCCAGTGACCTCCTGGAGGGGGTGGAGGAGCTGATTGATGGGATTTCTCTTCTGCCTGAGGCAGACAAGGCCCTGCCAGTCCCAGAGACCGAGCCTCAACAGAACTTCACCCACGGAGAGGAGGAAAGTGAGTCCTGGTACGGGGGTGGGGGTGGGGGGTGGGGAATGATCATTTGAAGTTGGGGTGGGAAACCTTTGGCTCTACATGTATGGTTTTTTTAAAGATGGATCTTTAAAAGATGCCCAAGACTAAAATGTGTTTATTTATGTATTAGATTTTGTCATCTAGTCTTTATTATTTTTAATAAAGTCAATATAATTGAGTTAATATAATTAACTGAAAGCTACAGACATACCTAATTCTCCTCCCTCCTCCTGTTTTCCCTACAATAACAACAACCCTGTGAGGTGGGTTTAGCTGAGAGAGTGACTGGTCCAAAGTCATCCAGCTGGCTTGTATGCCTAAGGTGGGACTGGAACGCCCAGCCTCCTAGTGATTGGCCCAAAGTCACCCAGCCAGTTCTCATACCTAAGAAGGCACTAGAACTCACCGTCTCCTGAACTCTAGTCTAGCGCCTTTACCACTAACCCAGAGTGGCTGTCTTGTAAAAGATACATTCAAATTATGCTTGACTCCTGGATATGCCCAGGCAATTTTTATAGCAGTAGGTTGTGAACATGGCTTATTGTTGCTATCTTTCAGAGGAGTTGTTCTTAACTTCCTGGGTAAGCCCATTAACTTCCCCAATAATTCCCTAGCAAAATTATGAGTGGGGTGGGGTGGGATGGAATGGAATAGAATAGAATAGAATAGAATAGAATAGAATAGAATAATAACTTTACTGTCATTGAATGTACACTAATCGGCAGATATTAAAATGAAATTTCATTGCATACACCTCTCAATATACACTACATGAATATGACTAAATAAATACATACATACATACATAATTATGCATCTAACCGCCTATGTTATATAACACAGAGAAACAACCCAGTCTAGTTCAGATGTATACGTGTACATGGCAAGGAAAACGAATCTTGCGAGTTTACCAGACAGATAGCCTAGGGAACAAAGCTATTCCAGAGTCTGGTAGTCCTGCTATAGTTACTTAGAAACCACTTTCTGGAGGGGAGCAACAGAACCAGACCATGAAGTGAGTATGTGGGGTCTCTAACAATGCTTTGAACTCTAGGCACAGAGTGCTTATGAGCAGCATCCTGAATTAATAGGAAGCCAGTGTCTTAACTTCGTCCAGCCCTGCTTAGCAAGGGCAGCCTGGTGCTACTACCTGTAAGCCTAATATGACGATGCAAAGATTCCTTCACCATTTAGGAAGGAGCCAGTAGCCTCCATCTGGAATGTTTCTTTTTCCTCTGCCGTATTCCTTTCCCCAAACAATCCTTCCCTTTCTCCCCAATGTTGATGCCGCCTTCTGTGCCCAGAGCTCTCCTGCCCTGTCCAAAGATTCTCGTCTCTCTCCTGCAGTTTTCAAAGAAGATTCCCAGAAAAGCTTCCTGGTAGGAAAGAAGCTGGACCAACTGGGGCTGCCTCAAACCTTACAACAGGAGTTCTCTCTGATCAATGTGCAAATCCGCAACGTAAATATGGAGGTGAGAAAAACAAAACTTTTATCTGGTTACTGGCTGGGACACAAGATTTTGGAATTGCCTATTAAGTCCTGGAGATCACTCACCTTCATCCTTATCTCTCCTGTTTTTCTTTCATGGTGGCTGTCCTCCATACTAGGGATGTGTAAAGCATGTTCTAATTGGCAGCATTGGGTGCCTATTCGTAGCCTGAGGGATACATGCTGTCCTTGGTGCTCTCTGAGCTCATTATTTTTTCTTGCAGACGTTTCGTTACCCAATTAGGGAACAAGATCAGCGCTTGAAGAGAGTGGGGTTTAGTTTCTCTTTATATACAACTGACTTGTCCCGTCAGTGTCGGCGGGAGAATTCTTGATGGTTCCTTGATTAGGCTCTTGTTTACTATTTGATTGTCTAAGTTGCTCGTTCCTTCACTGGGTTATTGTTTGCTTCTTGATTGTTGGTCTAACAGAGGGATACATCAAGATCAAGTGAGATACTCATACCATGCTATAAAGCCCTAGTAAAACCACACCTAGAGTACTGCATCCAGTTTTGGTCACCACACTATAAAGAAAGATGTTGTAAAAAAGATTATGGAAAGAGTGCAGAGAAGAGCAATCAAGAGGATTAGGGGACTGGAGACTAAAACACATGAAGAACGATTACAGGAACTGGGCACAGGAACTAGTGAAGAGAAGGACCAGGGGAGACAGGAGAGCAGTCTTCCAATGCTTGAGGGGTTGCCACAGAGAGGAAAGGGTCAACCTGTTTTCCCAAGCACCCGAAGCCCAGACAAGGAATAATGGATGGAAACTAACCAAGGACAGAGATTCAACCTGGAAAAAAGGAGGAATTTTCTTGATTGTGAGAACAATCAACCAATGGAACAGAAGTTGTCTTCTGAATTTGTGGCAGCTTCATCACTGGAGGCTTTCAAGAAGAGAGTGGACTACCATCTGTCAGAAATGGTGTAGGGTCTCCTACTTGTGGGGTGGGGTGTTGGACTAGATCAGTGGTCTCCAACCTTGGCAACTTTAAGACTTGTGGACGTCAACTCCCAGCAAAGCTGGCTGAGGAACTCTGGGAGTTGACGTCCACAGGTCTTAAAGTTGCCAAGGTTGGAGACCACTGCGCTAGGAGTCTGGATTTAGCCCTGGTGCTTCTGTCTCTACCTGCCCCTGCTAGCTAGTCCACAAGTCTTAAAGTTGCCAAGGTTGGAGACCCCTGGACTAGATGGCCTACTAGGTTCTGTCCAACTCTTAATCTGTGTGAGCTCAAGGCGACTTGCCAGAAGATATTTTCTTTTCTTAAAGGCGTCTCTGACTTCATCCTTCCATATAACCTCTCATCTCCTTACCTTCGTATGGGATCAGTTTGCCCTGCCAGGGACACCTTCGCTCTCCTCCTCCAGCCAGTGATCCTTATAGGGAAATGTCAGCAGAAGGCAGACCCCACGTTAGCTCCTCCTAACATTTCTTTCCCGCTTGGCTCTGACAGATGGACGCGGTCAATCGGAACTGCACGGTCTCGGTACACTGCAGCAACCACAGGGTGAAGATGTTGGTGATGTTCCCCGCACAGTATCCTAACAATGCTGCCCCCTCCTTCCAGTTCGTCAACCAGACCACAATCCCTTCCACCATGAAGGCCAAGTTGTTGAAGGTAGGTCTGTGCCTAAGCAGCTTTCCTGGGAGAAGGTTATTAGCAAGAGCTGGGGTGGTGGTGGAGCATATGCCAGGGGTAAGGGTCTCATTATAACAGCTGCAGGGGTGCAGTGACTGGACTGCAGTACTGCAGCTAATTCTGCTAACTGCCAGCAGTTCAGCAGTTTGATCCCGACCTGCTCAAGTTTGACTCAGCCTTCCATCCTTTCACGGTGGGTAAAATGATCCAGATTACTGGGGGCCATAGGCTGACTCTGTAAACTGATGAGAGAGGACCGTAAAGCACTGTGAAACGATACATAAGTCTAAGTACTATTGCTATTATCAACAAGCATCTGCTTTGTCTGCCTAGGCACTTAATGCCCCCCCCCCCCCGCCCAGACAACATCGGGTTCTTTGGTTGTCCTTGTCCAGCCTTCGTAGATTGCTTTCATTTTGAAGATGACCACTACTTTTTTTCAATTTACATATTCATAAATTGATTGATTGATTGAATTTATATGCTGTCCAACTTGTAGTGAATGACTCTGAACGACTCCACAAGAGTCCAGTTTCTCCCCTACCCCCCATCGCTCTATCTCTCTCTATCTTTCTCTCTCTTTCTCTCTCTCTCTCTCTCTGTCTATCATCTATCTATCTACCCACCCATCTATCATGCACCCATCTGTCTATTTATCTGTCTGTCTGTCTTCCATCCATCCATCATTCATTCATGCACCCATCTGTCTATCTATCTATCTGTCTGTCTATCTATCTATCTATCTATCTATCTACCCACCCATCTATCAT